TTAGCACAAGAAAAGAAACACCATAATTCTCATTCTTGTTCCCTGTGTGAATTTTCATTAGAGGTTTAACAATTAAACAGATGTTGATTACATATCGTGATTGTTTGTGTTCCAAAATCAGCAAAAGAGTTCGCGAAATTTACAAAAATGTACAATTTCTATCACAGTTTCTTTCTAAACAAAAAGATCTTTGATGGGAATTGAAATATATTTTATTTTCCGCTCTGCATATTAAGTAAATTCCCAGCAAATATAACATAGCAACCGATCAATTTACACCAGACCAAAACAATCTTGGAGCAAACACCAGTGCTCTTTAAGCATAACTTTTACAAGATCATATTACAAGACATCCACTGTATTGCCTGGTATTCAAATGATGTAAAATTCATCTTAGCATCTTCTGAAAACCTAAACATGAAATTTTTTAAAAAAATGTTATTTCTATACAAGTTTTAGTGTATACAATAAATACTAAACAATACTAGACAATATAAATGATTTATATACTGAACAATACACAACATGAATGATGGAACATTTTGTATTCTTGAACTATTAAGAATTAGGAACCCTATTTTTTTTGACCAAAAACAGTCAATTGACATAAATAAATGAAGACGCGAAATGTATAAAAGTTCACATTAATGTGAAACTACGTCCTTTTTCGTCATTGCAGTATTTCAATACGATAAAAAGAACTTACTAAAGGACTTTTGCAAGCGATTTTAGGGCTTTACATAGAGGCGTTTTGGTTTTGGAGGCTATCGATTTCCAGCTGGGTGTGACAAATTACAGGTTTCCAACGGCTATTTCCAATTGTGCGCCGGGGAGTTGGGTTTTAGAATTATAGTGTTTATGGGGTTTGAAGTCGTGTCCAATTGATTTTGTAAAATTTAATACTTTTTCTTTTTTTTTTTTCTTTTTGGTGTTGAAATCATGTTTCCAGCAACACTCAAATGACTAGCAACTTCCTTACATGACAGGATTCACTCCCACAAACGTGCCACCTAATGTATTCCATTATCCACATAATCACTTTTGTCAAATTTTCTGACGGACATTCATTTGGTGATGGACAGGATTGCACTTTTGAAAGTTCAATGACTAACTGCACAGTTTTTGAAGTTTAGCGGCCTCGTGGAAACTTCCTGTAAAGTTTAGTGATGATCAAGGTAATTATCCCTCCGTGCTGCAAATGTAGGAAGTTCTATCCGCCTAGTTTTCTTCAATTTTCTGTATATGGTTGTTAGTTTTTAATGGTTTTAGAACACGCATGACCAACTAGATACTCAAATCCCTCCTTTCAAATAATCAGATACACCGGTGTTTTATTTGAATTTTGTAATTATGAAATATTTGTCATTTAAATGTGTAATATCTTGTAATGAGATCAATAATTGTGCACTCATGGGCAGATCCAATGGTGGGCTACACTGGTCTGTAGCCCAGTTTAGTCCAATCCCAGATACATTAAAAATAGAGCAAATTACGCCCAGTACTTTCATTTATATACTTAGAAAATTGATTAATACACTTTTGACTTTTTAAATTTTCATTATACATTAAAAAACAATATATTTTACGGTGAAAAAAAAAACGGACGGTGTTCAATTCAAGCTCAGTTCTTGCTATAATTTTCCTAAATTTTTTATAAAAGATTTGTGTAATCACATTTGACCAGCATCTTTGAATTATCTAGGTAATTGGAGCTGAACCTACAACGAGAGATTCCCGAAGGATATTGATCCACAATGGGCTTCTTTCATTGAGAATTGCTGGCAAAGGTCTCTCTAATTTCTGATTGATGTCCAATTGTTTTCGCTATCTACAAATAGATGAGTTTCAATACTATCTTTACAACTATTTTGGACAAATTTTTCTCTTCAGATGATATATGATCAAGAGTTTTGATAGACGGTTGTTTCAACATATCACAGTTATGGTCTTGAAGTTCTTAAAACTTTTAGAGTGAAAAATAAAATAGAATAGTGATATGGTATTCTACTTGTATATGCATAACTTATTATGAATTTAGAACTAGGTTCTATTATAGATAAATTCTATGCTATAAAACATTATCGGGTACAACTGTGATAAAAAACACTATTACAAATTTTCTTATTATATATAAATTTTATGCACACATTAAATTTTAAAAATTTTTGCCCCCCGTACCGTTCATTACTGGTTCCGCCCCCTGGGTGCACTGCTACTAAGTTATATAATCATGCCAAAAGGGTTTCGAGTAGATGTGGCAATCAAGCCAAGTGGCTTGTCCGTCGGCTCGACCCGTCAAAATAGAGCCGCCCAAGTCCAGGTTAGTTTTTTGACGAGCTGCTTGTGGTTTTTTCTTTTTCTTTTTTTATTTTTCTTAAAGGTTTAAAACATATATAATTATATAAAAAAAATAAAGAAATTGAGCTCGCAAGTTGAAGCTCAGCCCGGCCCACAAGTAACGAGTTTAGCAGAAGATCATCTCGTTACACACAAGCACGAGCACATCTCATGCGCGAACGGGCCAAGCCGACTCGATTCAGCTCATTGCCATCACTAGTTTCGAGAATGTCTAAATTTCAGTTTGACGTAAAGTTAAGATCATCAGTGACATGTATTGTGTCAAAAAATAGTACGTGAAGTATTCTAGTTCTCTTATCTTATGTCACCCACTCCCCACACGTTTTCCCCACTATGCTTGCCTATGTACCTATATGCTTGAGTTGATAGAAGACACACACAAAGGATATATTTTTGCATGGTACATAAACTGAGGCAAAAGAAAAAAACGTGATTTTTGAGATTTTCACCGTTCAAGAATTTTTTTTTTTTTAATCTAACAAGATAGGAAAAGAGGTGCAGTTTATCCCGTTTAATTTTATTTC